GAACAATAGGTAGCACAATCATTAACTTTCTGCATATTTGAATCTTGATATACGATATGTTTCTCTTTCTACGTAGACATACAGGTACATTTACACACGTATGTAACTCTTTACATAAGTGGTGTACAAAAATGAACAGCACATACTTAATAGGTGGCTGTGGTTGTTTCGATATACACTTGTGGCGAGGAATTAGGAACCGAGCATAGAGATTTTCAACTGCATGCGGCATAATCTTTTAATCATCTATTCGTATAATTAATAAATATGCATGCCTAAATAAAAAATAGATACAGCTACAATTACCCAACGCACACACCACCCATATGTCCTATATTTTTATGTGGTAGTAGCCTCGAATCTGTTATTGGGAACTTTGGTGACTGCATAGGGATCGGTAGCTGTGGTGGTGGAAACAGAAGCGGAAACAGAAGTAAATAGTAAATTTTTGCGGAAGCGGATGCGGAAGTGTAATGATTTTGCATTTAGCACTTGCATCGTTAATAACAATACAATAATCCCAAATAGAACTTGTTTTTGACATCAAAATTACACTTTTAACTTAAAATTTACCCCACTAAGTAAACACCATACACAATAACAAACGCTATAACTGAAATACTGTTTTCAAAATGAAATTATTAGGAGAACTAGTTAACGGGAAGCTTAAAGTTCTATTAAAGTAGGAAACTAATAAGAGAATAAAATTTGAAAAATATCAACATACGAAATATGTACTAGGAAATAGATTTAGGTCCTAAACTATAATAAATTTATTTGCACATAGAGGCAATATTATTATTAACAAAATTTTGCTAGCTATAGCCCTGCATTTACACTAATACTTCATAAACATAAACGGATGATAATCATACGTTAACAATGTTACAGAGGGGTAAGGCGCAAGTACCTGCTCAACATTTAGCATTGCAGCGAGCAATTCCATTTAAATTGTGTTTTGAAAATGGTTAAGTTCAACCAACAGATAAAAGTATTAAATTTTTACGACTTGTTTTATTGTTCCGATATATTGATCTTCAAAAAGATGAGAAATAATATATTTTTCCGATAAATTCCCGTTATAAAAATGCGGAAGCAGTTGTGAAAATGTATGCGAAGCAGAGGTCTGTTGCAACATAGTTTTCTAAAAAAATGCCTGGAATCTCCTGTAATGTTCGAATTTTCTCCTGTTTGGTGGGTGTAAAGGTTTGGGCATCGACAACCAGCCACAAAATACCAGTTTAAGAATTAATGTGAATGCACTAGAATATTCTTGAATGTATCTAGTGTTGTTCTCAACTAGAATGTTCTCAAATGTCTATGATTGTCCTCAAGTAGAATGTTCTAGAGTAAATTGTACCAAAAGAATCGAAAAAGTTCTAGGACAATTATGTTGAGTTCTAACATTAAATTAGGGCAATTTCATATATTTGGATCAGTGTTCTAAAAATTACTTAAAATCTGTTATATTGTTCGATAAGTGTCCAATTTATTGTGCGTTTAGACTCGTAAATGGGTCACCAAACACCCGTTTGGAATAAGTTTGAATATAAACCCAGCGAAAAGGGTTGTCGCTAGCTATTAAAGTAAAATAAGTTCACTAAATACAACTTAAATCCTTTGAGGGCTGTTATGTTTTGTTCAAATAATTTTAGAGTACGGTTTGTTTAAGACAGTTTGTAGAGAAGCAAATGATATTTTCAGATAAATTATGCAGAAACAAAAAATGCCGACAAATGAATGTGAAATTTGTTTGTTCGGCGAACATTTTGCCTTACCTGTATACGACCTCACACGATGATTTTGCATACATGAGTACGTATACGTCAATTACTCTTGAATTTTTATTACTCGTCCGTAGTCTTTAATGTCATTTTATTAACGAGTACCTTAAAACGCTTATCATGTAAGAAATAGTTAGTCGGTCCAGTCAATAGTGGATTTAAGGAACTTTTATGTCCGTTACAAAGTTCATTCGTATCTATTTATTTCGTCAATTTTATTTATCAAAACTCTTAAACGATCGGATTTATGAATAGATTAAAAAAATAAGATAATGTCTAATTCTGTGTGCAGCTGACGGTAATGACAAGTTTCAGGTTTTCTGATAGTTTACTGTAACGAAATCTGCTGGTAAGGTAGTAAAAGATTTTCACGTCATTACGTCATTACAAAAAACGGTGCAATTTAGATTTTTGTTGTATTTTTATTTCTTCATAACAAAATTTTTAACATTGCACATCTTCTAATTTTATTTTCCCTAGTTAAATTTAAAAAATACAGAATTTGTGATACTACAATTCTGAAATGAGATTAGACAGATGATAGTAAATAAACGTATTTCTACGCTCTAGTCAAGTAAGTTCCTGAAACGTCTTTTTAATTCTAAAAACAAATAACAAATATGGAGGGGTGTTTAGATTTCTTTTCAATTCCAACCATCTACTTCCTTCCTCACCATTGCTGCGATTCTTTTCGCAAATAGAAATAACAGGTAATTAAATAAAATTACAGATAATTATATAAATTCAGGCAAGATGTTAAACTGCTAGCGCCATTGTTCAATTCGAAAAGTGTTGGTTATAGTTTATGTGTACCTTCGTTTTATCGACTCTAAGTGGAGCGTCATTACTCATTTGACTCACCCCTTGAATACAATGACAAAAGTCAGACAGACATAAACGGGTAGGACTGACTGACTGTCTGTTTTAAAATATCGAAATTACATGCCATAATAATAACCGCTAGGCTTGCACACAATATGCTCACCACCTACTACGTGATTTACACTTTTGAAACGTCACAATTTCTGCATTCATTTGTGCAGTCGTTAAAATTTAATGTCAAACAGAAGAGTTCCCTATCATTTCCAGCATACATACTTAATTCATATTATTAAGAAATATTTGTTTCCTGGTCTGTAAGTACGTACTATTGCAAATAATTGTGGGATGTTAAAAATTTAAATTTACCTTTATGAATTGTTTAAGAAGTTTTGTCATACATAATATCTATAATGATAATATTTCAAAAGTTGTGGAAGTATAACAAAAATGCAACCCATAAAACATATTCTACATAGTTTTTAGTTCAATTATTATCTGAAATTCTCAAGGGGTTAATGCGGCATTAGTTAAGTATTTGGCTATCGCTGGTTAATTCAATTTAGCGGCAAATATTTGAACGTTGCAGATAAACTATTTAAGAAAATTAGTAACAGTTTCTTTAGAGAACGAAAAATGATGTAGTTTTCTAGTTTATAAATATACTCGATAAAAACTTTTGGTTTCCCTTCTATAGGTAAATATTTAATGTGCAAAATGAAGAATGTACACAGTTAACTAACTACATATATGAAATCTTGTAAGGTATAAACATTTTCAATTATCAAAACGAAGTAAAACAAGAACGTTTTTGACTTATTCTTTATCGTTCTAAGAACTACAATTTCCAAGGTACTAACTTCCATCAGCAATAATTTTAAATCTCTCCTGGAGTTTTCTTTCCATTTCTTGTTGTTACCCTTTACTATTTATTTACAAACCTAAAAGTTCATAATTTCAATATTTTATCATCATACAGCCGTCAGTCCGCAGACTCTCCCATTCGGTGCTAGGACACTTTACCCTCTGGGGCATTTCTAGGGTTGCCACCCGTACTTTATTATAAAGTTAATGAATATGCATGCCTAAATAAAAAATAGTTACAGCTACAATTACCCAACGCACACACCACCCATATGTCCTATATTTTTATGTGGTAGTAGCCTCGAATCTGTTATTGGGAACTTTGGTGACTGCATAGGGATCGGTAGCTGTGGTGGTGGAAACAGAAGCGGAAACAGAAGTAAATAGTAAATTTTTGCGGAAGCGGATGCGGAAGTGTAATGATTTTGCATTTAGCACTTGCATCGTTAATAACAATACAATAATCCCAAATAGAACTTGTTTTTGACATCAAAATTACACTTTTAACTTAAAATTTACCCCACTAAGTAAACACCATACACAATAACAAACGCTATAACTGAAATACTGTTTTCAAAATGAAATTATTAGGAGAACTAGTTAACGGGAAGCTTAAAGTTCTATTNCGACAGCAATTTGTTACTGGCTGCTAGGTGTAACAAAAAATATGTTTTTAAAAACAAAAAATAAAATACTTTATTTTTATGCCGAGTACTTTTTTTTTAACCTTTTAGTCGAGAAATACTTTGTGTAAAGCCTGAAAAGGTGGCAACCCTAGGCATTTCACCTCCTGACTATGAATATATGTATACGTATGTTTATTATATTGGTATTCATATAAGTGACTGTCTATACAACATTAATCAGTACTTATGGCGAAAAGTTCAACAGCTAGGGCTAACTGAAGACTGTAAAAACAATTCGGTTAGTAAGGTTACATGTAAGGATGTGTACCGAATTGGCATATATATATATTCCTTTAGTTGAAGTAGAGAACGCGTGGGAGATGCTCCGCAGCTACAACAATTAGAAGCATTTTCTTCATTACTTTGTAAATGAATGATTAGAAAATATATAGAACTATAATGGTGAATTACACCTAACCAACAACTCGATAGAACTGCTACATAAATAATTGTCATCATTAAAAAAATATATATATATACGAACTATTGCACACGTCTAGCCTGTGTATGTACAAGTGTGAGGGTAAGTTTTACCTATTACATACGAATAATACATATTGTAGATACATAACGGTAAAACAGGAGGTAAAATATCCCACTTCAATTTTATATGAGATATATTATATATTTATATCCGGGGGTAAAATGTCTCAGGAGATAGTGTCCTTTATTCTTTCTATTTTGAGTTAATTTTCGCATTTTCTAAAAATTGTCTCAGGTGTGCCTACACTTAGTACTTCATTCGTCATTCTCAAACGCTTCTACTTACATTTATTTATTTTTTTCATAAAAATCGTCTGTGATACGGAATACTTCTTGTAAGTGATTGGTTTTATATTTTTTCCAGGAGATTATTTACGCGACAAATACGACGGTGCAACGGAAGTTCGTGTAAATAAACGAGGAAAACTTCAGATTCGCGACGCGAGATTTCGTCTTCCGACTGCAAACGATTTATTGTATTTGGAAGACTCGCCGAACTATTGTCTTAGAAATTTGTCGGTTGGCTCCTTAGGAACCCAAGGACGAACGTGCAACAGGACGTCGCAGGACTTGGACGGTTGCAATCTCCTTTGTTGCGGAAGAGGGTATAATACAATGAGGACAGTTCTGAAGGAAAGATGCCACTGTAAGTTCAAATGGTGTTGTGAAGTGCAGTGCAAGACGTGTATAAAAGCGGTAGAAATGCACACCTGCAAATGAAACAAGAAATCTCATTTTGTAAGTATTGTAAATAGGAAATTGTTGTTTTCGAAAAACAAATTACGTTCAAATATTTATTTTAATGTCAGAATTAGTACAAGACAAAATACCTTCTAAGTTCTTATTATGAAAATGGAGTTGAGTATTTAATATATCATATCACTTTTTCATCTAATTTACTACAATTGTTCGACTGCAAATCATACATAAAATATGTGACAATCTAAAAATCACCCTATTAGTTATTTCAAAAGTTGGTCAAGTTTAGGTACTCTTCAGTACAAATAATAGTGTTTCGTTTAGAATTATTGTTTTAATTAATTTCAGAATTTGAAAGTGATTGGAATATTGAGAAATGAAATATTTTCGTATTTTTAACATACTTTGTATAGATTTTTGGTGTTCGGAAATTCAAAAACGAATGAAATTGTTTCGAATATGTTGATCATTGCCAAGAATGCATACGATACTACTAAGAACTAAAGGGTGGCATATTTAGCGTGTTCTACGGAAGCTCAGTGTTCATTTATCAAAGTTTCCGTTTCCTATTAATTTTATGAAAATATAGGGGGCAATGTGTCTTGTACGTTTTCTGGTGCTACAGTATTTATAAATCATAATCATAATGTGCATCAACTTCTGGGTAGTTTTTGCGTAAATGATACACATTAAAAACGAATAAAAGTGTCTATTTTAAACAAAAAACGGAACGTTTTGTAATTATTGATAATACAAATAGTACAAATCATCTTAAGCACAGATTATTTTTACTTTTACGATCAATGCAAAGTCTGGCTCCTTATTATTAATTTATTTGATCGTCATTCAATTAACAAATGACATTATTATTTGATCGTTCCTCGATATTGTATTACATCAAATCTTTTTGACATACCGTAGAAGCTGTTTCGGTACATAGTTTCTTCTTCATCAGGAGACGCTGTTATCGCATATCAGAAAGTTTTAATCTAATAAAATAGTGTGAAGATTGTCCAAATAATAGTGTTCTGTGTTAATTAACCTTATTCAACGGTATTTGTAAGTTTAATTATTTTTCAATATTATCTATCAGAATTTTTGGTAACGAATGTCACCTAAACCAGTAGGGTATAATCTCATAAAAGTAAAATGTGTATCCAATACTTATAACTATTGTGTTCATTTTTGTTATTGTATATATAAGTATTTAATCCATTCATTGTCCTATCTATATTCATACGTTTATATATATAGTTGCTACATTTTGAACAGGATTCTTTTTTTTTTAATATGGTAGGTAATTATTTAATTTTATTGTTTGAACATTACCTTTGCCAAAAAGTATTCCCCGTGTTTTAAACATACAGTTAATTAGTACTTATATGTATTCTTAAGAATAAATAAGTATTTATACACATATTAGGTACTTATGTTACATCGAACTTATCTGAGGCTGAATTTGAATTTCTCATTAATAATAAAACTATTTTTTTTATTTTCAAAATAGTAAATTGAACAAATACCCACATTTATCCCAACGTGAGTGTAATTGGCATATTTTAATTTATTCATTACTTTTACTAGTAGCCAAGAAAAACAATTACAAAACTTGCAGTTAAGAAAATTTGGCTAATATTCCGATTCGGTACCAGTAAAATGAAGGGTCGATTCATACCTTTTTGAAAACCCTATATTAAGACCATTCCAATGGTATTATTTCTAGCACACAGAAAAGAAGTTGAAGCCTAAAAACCTCCATTACGCGAAATCTCAACCCTCTATTAGAGTCCCTGCAAGCCATTTTGGTATATATTTTCCCTCTATAACTCGAAAAATTAAATTGGACCTCTGTATCTCGAACAAAGCAATGTTTTATTTTACAACCTTTACAACTTGATAATTTGAAACTTATTACGTCTATAGTTCAAAGAAAACTAAGGATTTGTGACAATGTAAGTACACCAAATCATAATCTCTACCAGTCGAATCAAGATCCTTCTAAGTCAAAATCGTCCATAAGTTGAAAACTTTACAACTCTAATTTTTTGGAGTCTCCCTTGATGTTTGAATTATAGAGGTTCTACTGTATTAGGTTATATAGGGTTATATACTCCTTGTAAGTGAGGTTCCAAATATGGTTTTTGTTATTGAAATGAATGAAAGGTCAACTTCTTTTCCGTGCGCTGGAAATGGTATCATTCAAAAGGTCTTGGATTCCAAAGTTATTTAAAAAGGTATCACTCAGCTCTCACTGCTGTGAGTCGTAGCGGAAGATTTAGCGATTTTTTTTTGTTAAATGAGCAAACAAATTCTAATTATGAATACAAACATAAGTCTTTTTTTTCTATTGGAAAATATACTAAATGTCAATTCGTACATTCAGATTGTAGGTATTTTGGACATTCTGTATAGTTGGGTGTGATATATTATTTCTACGATTCAAATAAACGCATGATCATTAGAACAAACGACAGATAAGGCTGACTTTCAGATGTTCTTCAACGCCTGGCTCTGCCTTTCACTTTTATATTAGTCTCGAGCAGGTTACGAAGCATGCAGATTGTTTTGTACATAATTTGTAAAATACGTTGAATATTAAATTTTTGATAGTTGTGTTAAATTATAACGTAATGGTTGTTTTTTTTGTGCTGTGTATAGTGCGTTCTACGAGAAACTAGGATGTATTTCCCCATTTCTCTTTGTGAATTTGAACAAAGAATACGCAGATTCCATGTGGATATATATGTATGTCTAACACAACGAAAATGGTAAGTGTATATCTATGAAATAATATTAAATTTTAGAACTATGTTATTATTTTGCTGATATAAATTCTAGGCATTGTGACACATAAAAGATTGTTTTTTATTAATAATAAATAACAATATCAGGCCTATAACAATTGCGCTACATTTTAGTTACCGTCTCCTTATCTATTTCGATAAAAAGACCGAGTTTTTGGGAATTTGGAAGGTGTAAAGTTTTTTAAGATCTCTAATAATATCTGTGACAGGATTTTACACATTATCAAACAAAATGGTTTTGTGTTACTAGATGTAAATCCGACTTTGTTTTACTAGGAGATTTGAGGAACAGTCAATTTTTGATAATTGTGATTCAAGGGAGGAACTGCAATATTAACTTTACATTTATTTTCGACACAATACAATTGAAAATATTAAACAATAATATGTCAGTTATTGACAATATTTACTAGTTCGTAGTAGTATTTACTGGCTACTAAGTAGCTTGATGTTGTTTGATCAAGTCTAAGGATCCATTTTATGTATTTGTTTTGTACTCCTTCGATTATTTTGTGCCTTGACTATCCCCACATTTCCCCTCCATACATCAGTATACTTACTACCAGTACTTCAAATAAATACATTTTCTTTTCCCAACTTTCCTTGAAACCCTTTTCGGATATGCTCCATACTTCCCTATAACCTTCTTCAATTTATTTTCGTTCTTATGTGAATATTATCTTTTTCGTTCTTTCACCACCTTTTCTACCTCTCATTATCTTCGATTTTATCTTTGTGAAAAATAGAAAATGTTTTGTGTTTTATTCTTTATTTCTTTTCCACAATAGTTGATTTTGCTTGCAACTTTTTAATGTTTACTTCAACTGCGATAGATGCATATCGCAATTTTCAAAGTAAATAGTAATAACTATTATAGTAAAGCAATTTCAGTAAATAAAGTTGGCAATAGAGATCCATATAATTAATAAGCTAAAGTTATTTCTATTCTCGACGATAGCTTTAGTCATAGCTTTGGTCGTTCAGCAGCATTATCCTTCAACAGTGTTTTACAGTTGCAACGTACGGTATGGGTTAGTCCTTATCGAAAGCGAAATTATGAAGTTAATATATTACGTGTATTTTTTGGTCATTGTGTGGTAATAATTGTAAAATCTGTAGGGAAAATTTGCGGAAAATTTTCAACATGTAAGGTAGGCGTTCCTTTTTGTATCCTAAAGGTTTGTCTGATTTAAATTATTGAATTCTGTTTAAAGTAAAAAACAAAACATCACATATTAAACATTTTTTAAATTTCTCCAACTAGAGTAAAAGTACCTACTTATTGGTTATAAAGATGAAATAAAGAAAACATCTTACAGAGTTGATATGACATGCTTAAAACAGTGTTTCAAGACACGTATTTTAAAGAGTCGTAAAAATACGAAAATAAAACTATTTTAAAACATAAAAACACGTGTATAATAGCAATAGTATAATAGTATGAAACGAGTTTTATGATTAACACGTTGGTGATAAAATAGGCACGATACGAAAAATGGTAAAAACAAAATTAATAGCAAAGTATTTCGACGGAAATCTAATTTTCTAAATAAAATTCAAAATTGCTTCATTTTTAAATTTTTAAATTGCTTGAAGTAAATTTAAAGGGGTGCCTTTTTTAAGATTACTGAAAACGCAGCGCTTAAAAAGGGGGCATTTTGTGGTTTTTGACATCTTTAGAGAGAAAACTATCATACTTAATCATAAAACCTTTAACGCAATTGTTTAATACTTCCTTTTTTATTCTCTCTTCACACTGACGTAGCAAAGGGGAAGCCACGTGGGCCACACCCCCCCTAGAATCCTCCTGGCTTACCTTAGAATATTAATTACTTAAGTACACATAATAAGATAAATCTGCAATAATTTACTTACATTCTTTTTTGTAAAATTTCTTCAAAGAATCGTACCAATCAATTCTGTTATTGTGAACAGTTTTCAAATTATTCTGCCGTTCAATGTTATTCAACTGTTCGAACTGTTTATAAAGGAAGAGCCAGTGACCAATTTTGAGTTGACATTTCAAAAGTCACCAAAACTTACCTACTCAATATTTAATACATGTCAGAAATCTTCATGATATGATATGTTATATCATCAGTCACAAAACTTTGGGAAATTATTTTTAATAATATTTTAAATCCATAAAAAAATCGCCAGAACTTTTTCGTCCCTCGTTGTTGTTGACATAACGCTACAAATATTTATTAAAAATAGCTGTACTTTTGTCATTTCAGTANGGACCTTATAAAAACAGTAAGAAAGTAATTTTTCTTATTCATAATTTAATGTCTACGTTCGTGTCGACTACATTTCCAATAAATCTTTTGTTTACTTGTAGGTACTTAAGAAAAACAAAAATACATGTTAGTATTGCACAAGTCAATAAGAAGTTATTATTTTTTTAGCTTTAATGTTAAATTTCTTTTGTCATTAAACGTTAAATCTTTTGTTACTATTGCAATTACGTTTAATTTATTTTATTGTAACTAAAATAATAATTCGTTGTTACAATACTATTAATCTATATTAATGTATATTTAAACCAAGTTATCTACAGCAAAGATATTGAATATATTGTAAAAATGATTTAATCCGCGTTATATTGAGAAATCTGTATCTTGAGAATCACTTCTAAAATAGTGGTTGAAAAGTAGATACCTAAGTAAGTCAAAAAAAGTTTTAATTAAATTGAACTAGTCTTGTCACTTGTCTACTTTTACATTCACATTGTCACTTTAAAATATTACTGTTTTAAAAGTAGTAATTAATTATTTTTTCTTGCCTGTTTCTGTAGATTGCCCAACAAATGAGAACGAATTGCAGCATCTTCACTTTGCAACATTATGCAGTTAATTTTGGACCTGCAAGAGATAAGGCATCTGCAGATTTGGAAACCACTGAAACAATTTGTCTGAAGTCCTGGATTTGGTTTGTTTTTCACACTTGCAAACTTTGCAACGTTACATTCTACAGTTATATTAGGTGAGAATACTTGATATTATTAATTTTGTCTTATCCTATTTATACATATATTTTATTTTAATATGAGAGTCAAATGATTCGAAAAAAGAAGTATTAAATATGTAAATAATATCTAAATTTTCAATACAACAACTGACTATTTTACTGATTAATGAATAGTACATTATGTATCTATTATTTTATCCGCCACTTGTCCACCTCTATCTTCACATTGTCACTTTAAATTATTACTGATTTACTTGTTTTAAAAGTAGTAATTAATTATTTTTCCTTGCCTGTTTCTGTAGATTGCCCAACAAATTAGAAACAGCATCTTCAGTTTGCAACATTATGCACTTAATTTTGGACCTGCAAGAGGCAAGCATCTGCAGATTTGGAAACCACTGAAACAAATTGTCTGAAATCCTGGATTTGGTTTGCTTTTCACACTTGCAAACTTTGAAACGTTACAGTCTACAATTATATTAGGTGAGAATAATTAAACCCTGTAAATATTTGTAAGACATTTCAAATTTCCATTTGTCTACGGCGTAAGTTCCCTAAATACGTTAATAAATAGTAAACACGTAAATGGCTCACCAGCTTTTTATCTACGCTTTCGTTACGATTAAGTGTTATAGTTTTGTTTCGTATTACTAGAAATAATATATTGTGCCTCGTTTGAGGTAAATTTATTGTATTGTAGTTATTATACCTACATATTATCATTTACTTGAATTTGAAATTTCTATTACTATTTTATAAGGAGATTAAAATAATGGGTGACTATTGGGGAAAAACTTGCAATAAGCAGAATGCCATAGAATAAAAGCAAACTATTCTTAATCTTCTTGTCTCTTATATAATCGTCACTTATCTGGAAATATTGTTTTTCAAAATGAAACACTGAGTCGTGTGATCTATCGATCATATTTTTAGTTCACCTAAACTTCTAACCTCGACTCGACAGAAGGATATCTTCTTTTTAATGATACAAAGTTTTATAATTGTACAAACAAATGAAATTTAATATTCGTATTCCTAATTTTGGGCGTACAATAACACAATGACAATTTACGACTTTTTTTTGTAATTTCCAGGAGAAATATTGTGAACTAAATCTAATGCAGCCAAATGCTTCGCTGAGAAAATTGTTCGAATTGGAGGAATAACAATCAAGATAATATTTTGGATAGTTGCAACATAAGAAAGATGAGTTGAATTTTGTAGCCATACAGGTACGTTACATTAAAATTTTTGGAACTTTTTAACAAGAAAGAAAATAAAAAGAAAACAATCTAAATGTTTGTATTTTGTGTATTTGTATAAATCTTTATTCTTTATTGCAGTAAAGGTAAAAGTCAATTTATGACTAGCCAAGGTGCCGTCAATCACTAAATATTTTATTTTTCTTATTACTTTCTGTTATTCAATGTGAAACGGATTTAAGCTAAGTTTGCAACTATAATATTATATATTTGTTCAAAAAGAAATCTGAACAAGTCTTGCCACTTGTCTACCTTTACCTTCACGTTGTCACTTTAAAATATTACTGATTTACTTGTTTTAAAAGTAGTAATTAATTATTTTTTCTTGCCTGTTTCTGTAGATTGCCCAACAAATGAGATGGAGTTGCAGCATCTTCACTTTGCAACATTATGCAGTTAATTTTGGACTTGCAAGAGGTAGGCATCTGCAGATTTGGAAACCACTGAAACAAATTGTCTGCAGTCCTGGATTTGGTTTGCTTTTCACACTTGCAAACTTTGGAACGTTACAGTCTACAGTTATATTAGGTGAGAATACTTGATATTATTAATTTTGTCTTATCCTATTTATACATTTATTTTATTTTAATATGAGAGTCAAATGATTCGAAAAAAGAAGTATTAAATATGTAAATAATATCTAAATTTTCAATATAACAACTGACTATTTTACTGATTAATGAATA